ATAATTATCGGAATCATAATTATATCATATTATTAATATAATTATCAGAATCATGATTATATTATTATTATATTATTATAATTATGATTCCGATCTGCAATGTATTTTAAGTGCTTTTGCATTTATGTCTACGTTCTGTTCTTTTTCTCTTCTTTTTTCATCTTCTCTTGAATTGGATAAGTATATTTTTTCTTATTTCATGATTTATCCTCTACTAGTTTGATATTGAGTGTTTCTTATTGTTTTGATTATTATGTTAGATATTACAGTGTATACTCTTGATTTGTAGTCATGTAGTGATTAATAATTTTATTTTTTCTTTGAGTTACAAGGAGCTCTTATATTTAATTTTCTTCCCTCCTGACATGTGTTACTATTTTTATGTTTTTTAATCATACACAGAAAGTAAGACACTGAAACAGATACCTATGTATGTATGTATGACTATGTAGGAAAATATTAACATAATTACCAATTTGATGGTTCATTGTTCTACATTCTTTCTGTATCCCCTAACTTCCTTGTGGAATGATTTTTTTCTTCTCCTTAAAAAATTCCCTTTAGACATTTGAATTAACACATTGACATCTTTGTAGTACCTTTAAGGTATTCACTTTGCATATGTATTTTAGCAGCTTCTCTATAATTTACCTAGATGCTTTATAGTTATTTTTATTAAAATTCATAGTGATTCTTTGATATATCATTTAATATTTTATTGACAACTTTGAAAAGTCCTCAGCCAATAAACCTTCAAGTCATGTAACTGATCTATTCTTTCTGAATTCTCTCCCTCTTTGCTCACTCTTCTATATTTCTTCTATATTTTGTAGTCCACATGCAATGTTCCAGCATGGATATTTTCTTACCATGTTCATTCTAAGTGTTAACTCTGATTCAATATGTTGTTAAATTCTTTCATTAATTTCTCAGTTTTATTAAATTTTAAAATTTGTTATTTTATAAATTTTTACATCATTTTCAGCTGTGATGAAATTATACATCTTGAATACAGTACATACAGTTAAGTTAAAATATGTGTCTTATGTCTATAAGACCTGGTGGGCCTGTGAGTCCATTTTTATTTTTTTATTTTTGTTTTGCTTGACTTTATCTTGGTCTATAATTGTGTTGATTTTCTCCACAAAGTGTTTTTTTCTTTGTTGGTAATTCCAGGACATAGTAGTTGTATTATATCCAGTACTTTTAAGGATGATGAGGAAACAAAGGTTAAGTATATTTTGTAGGATGTCATTATATAGCAGAGCCAAGTTTTGAGCAATGGTAGTCGAGCTCTTACCTAATGCAGTGTGCTTTCTCCTGTATTATGATATAAAGACTTCCTTTCTACCATGCTACTAGAACTACCATTTGAAATTGGCCATTGGGTACCATTTATTTTTCAGTATAAGCTACTGATACATTGATTCTGATTGCTAACAAATAATTGTATAATATGTTATTAACTATTTAGAAATCCTTTATAAACAATAGAAAGCAAATATATGTTGGAATTCTTATTCAAATATTAGCAAGCATCACAACTTGGTGCAAGTTACTAGTGAGTCGAGATTGCAGTTTCTTTTTCAAAGAATAGAGAGATGTATGGAAACAGTAAACTTGTAAAATTTATAATTCAAGTGAAAATCCCTACTCATTAAGCCAATATACAGGCTGTGCCTTTCTAAGCATTAAAATACAAATATCAAAGCAATGTATATAAATTTATTTTTCTATATACTTATGTGCTGAATGTTTGAGATTAACTCATAAACTTTTGTAGACATTAGCTCTAATTTATAGTATACAACATTTATAGCTCAGTAAGTTTAACTTACTTAGCATATTACCTGGGCAACTGGGTGATGAGCCCAGGAGCAAGTCTCTGTTCTACTTTTCAAATGCAATAAATTGTGTATTTGTTTTTTTTGGTACCAGGTATTGAACTTGGGTCCTTGTGCTTGCAAGGCAGGCAGTGGAATCACTGAGTTAAATCCCTGGCCCTCAAATGCAATAAATTGTGAATCAAATTCCGACTTTACAATTGCAGCATGAAATAACAGTGTGTGTTTAAACTAGATGATCAAAATTGAGAATATTTTAAAATTGAATTACAGTAATAAAAGACAGTGGAGTGAAGTGCATTTTGGAATTCTTTAGTTGAATTTATTATTGTTATTATTATTATTATTATTATTATTATTATTATTATTGTACTGGGGATCGAACTTGGGTCCTTGCGCTTGCAAGGCAGGCAGCAGAACCACTGAGCTAAATCCCCAGCCCTCTTTAGTTGAACTTAATAGGATTTTTTTTAGTCGTTAAACTTTTTTTCATAATGTAATATTTTGAGTCTGATTTCAACATAAAATCTCTTTCTCATAGAGATGTGCAAAAAATACAATTTTACTCAGCCTCAACACCCAAGAAATTTTCCAGACAGAATGATTTTTCCAAATATAATAAGACCATTTATGATGTGTTGCTCCACCTGAGTGGAACACTGCCACCTGGAATTAGTTCAAGTCAGTCTTTACCTGTGGATGACACCGAAAGAGTGATTCAGCTTCATTTTCAGTATTCTTCACTTCTAGATTTTCTCAAGTAAGTGCATGAATATACTAAGTTCAGCATGTGATTTTAACTTGGATAGATAAGTGAATGTGTGATGGATGGGTAGATGGACAGATGGATAGGTAGACGATAGATAATAGATGAATAGGTCATCTTTGAAATATTTTACCGAATGTATTTTTATCAAGTATTTATATACAGTATTGTACACACCATACAAAAATATATACTTCCTAAATAAGCATTCTATGATCATTTAGATTCATCCCCTAAGGCTGTCATTTTCAAACTTTTCATGCATCTAAATCACTAGGAGGGCTTGTTGAATCAATTTTGCTGGCTACTAACAATCTAATTTATGATTTAATTTGCATTTATAGTAAGTCACAAGGTAATACAGATAGCTCTGGTCCGTGAATTTTTTTTTAATTCTGATGTAAGTCATATGTATCATATAATGTTACAAAACAAAAAAGGGATAAAATCAATGAACTTTAGTCCTCAAAATACTGTTAATACGGTTTCATATTACAGATGCTGTGATTTTTTTGTAACTGAAATCTTCAATATTAATAGAACAAGCAGATGAAAAGTTCCACACATGGTTGATATAAACTATAAGAAGAATACTTGTTATTATAATATCTTTCTCTACAGAGATTAAATTGCAAGTGGCTAAGAAATAGAAAATCAGTGTTCATTAAACTTCTGAAGAAAGTGTTGCTAAATTTATATTGCTTCTTTGGCCTGCATTTATAGCATCCTTGTTTTCTGAAATACCCCATTCTTTAAGAAGTGTTTTTCCCCTACTGTCATGCTCCTCAGCCACTGAAATATTATTTCTTTCTTATAATTATTTATGTAATAGGGCTAATATGTTTTAAAATATAATAATATGCTTTTCTCCTTTGCCTTCTTATCTATGGAATCTGCCTCACATTTGGCCAGAGATATTTATTCACCTGCCTTTGCAGGCCTGGGGATAAAGGACCAGAAGAGGACTCATAGAGTAGCAATGCTTAAGATTTGACATTCAGTTTTGTATTTGCAAAGCAGGATTTTTCAGTCCCTAGAAGTATTCTTTATTAAAAGTTGGACTCTGTGTTAATTTTTTTTTCCCTTTATTTGACTCTCACAAGTTTAGAAATCGTCAAAACCGGCTAAAGCTTCTTATGGCTTAGAATGCAGCTAGAATTTTCTAAGTCAGGGAAGGAAAATGATTCTAAATCCAGGTATTCAGTCATGGAAATTGTACCTTGAAACATTAGCAGGGCCCCATTGAGGAGGAAGAAGAGTTGTAGGTGTTGGCTCTGAAGGTATAATATGAATGACACATATTTGAAGACTGGGGTGTGGTTGAATCAGTTATGGAGGGCTTATTGATCCTTAGTGAGGCTAAAAGATATAAGATCCCTATTTCAAGCTTGAGCACCATATCATATGACAAATAGGCATACAGAGGACACTGTCAAAAAGACCAAGGTTACAGAAAAGCAATTAAAAGTACTCAAAGGGCCAGCATTTACCAATTATGTCCTCTTAATTATTAGATAGAATGAAAATGTTTATGTTTAATACAGAAAGCCTATGAATTTTCTTTTCGTTTACCACTTCCTTCTTCTGGTCCTTAAAGACTGGTTTAATATGTAAACCCATTAACTCAGTAAGGCAAAAATTCAGATACATTTATTTATGAAAGTTATTTGTATGCTTAAAATCTAGTGGCATGTTAACCAGAACCCAAAATGTTTGAATACTTATATAAATCCTTATTGTATGTGCCACAGAAGTTAAGCAATTTCATGAGAAAATCATTAAACTCTGTAGTACTTACAAGTGTTGTGTTATGCTTGTAGCATTCTTGTTGGCATAGCTCCCAGTAGTGTTGACATTAACATGGGTTGTTTCTGTTTTTACGTTTTACGATATGAGAATGAAAGTAAGGAAGAATAATTTTGGCATTAAAGACAAGCCATTCAGATTTATTTGCTCTTTATCTGCAAATACATGCCCATCAGCATAAGTTGACTATGATAAAATTACTTAACATTTAGAAAGTGGCAGCACAGTTAATAAAATTGGATCATTAATCCAAGATATGTGCATGTGTTTCATTATGGCAATAAATATATTAAATTTTAAATAGTCATAAATACTATTAGCTTTCCCACTTAAATTTGATCACAGAGTAAATGAGAGCTGTTTTATAAGTGAAATACATATTTTATGCAGTGAGAAATTCATTTTTAAATACTGTTGAAATTTCAAATTTCTTGAAGATTAAGTTTAAAATTTAATAACTCATTTAATTGTGTTTTGAACTACTCACTGTTGCCTGGCATGGTGGCGCACGCCTGTAATCCCAGCACTTGGGAGGCTGAGGCAGGAGGATTGCTGTGAGTTCGAGACCAGCCTGGGCTATATAGTGAGTTCCAGGTCAGTCTCAACTACCCAGTGAGACCCTGTCTCAAAAACCAAAAAAAAAAAAAACCCAAAAAACAAAAAACTACTCACCGTAAACTTTGAAGAAATATTCAAGTAGGACAGTAAGAAAGAGTTTAATCAAATCAATTGTTAAAGACAGTTCTCTGTAAAAGTACTGACCTTGCATAAAATTTGTTGAAAAGATATAAATACGAATACTGTATAATGGATTGATACAGTTAGACCTTAAGATAGATTCAGATGAAATATATATTGATTACAGCACTAGCATTTAAAATACAGAAGTATGTTCTTCATCCTTAACTTTTACCCAGGTTTACTCTGTTACACACTACAGAATACTCAAATAAATGTCTTCTCCTTTCTCCAGAAATTCTCATTTTAATTATTATTTTATAGTCTTCTTTAGGTATTCTCTTGCATCTGATAGAAATGATCACTTCCTCTTGAAATCCTGTCTCTGCTTTGATTATGAGAAAGTATTGCAGTTTCTTTATATGTTTGTGTTGTCTTTGTTTCACTTTATAGAATTTCAATTTTATAGGGACATCATTTTATTGCATTCTTACATAAGCTTTAGGTTGGTTATTCCTGCTGAAGAGTAGCATTACATTAAAATAAATTTTATTTAACACTAAACTAATTCAAATATAGTGACAGTTCATGAGAATAGAAGTTGCCTGAACATAAAGCAAAAAGATGTTTGATTTTCAAACAAATGTTATTTAGGTAGTATTTCTTCTCTTTGTTTAGACTGGCCCAGGGTCACATCAAACTTACCAGCTCTAAACTATGTTCACTACTTCCATTCCTGCAGGAGTTTCTTTCCTCAATTCTCTCTGCTCATTTATCTCTTATATCTTCAGGATTTGAGTTTTGAGTATCATCTTTACCCTCTTTTCTGCTTTTTCTTTTCTCAGTGATCACAGAACTGTGAACTGCAGAAAGTGCCTGCTGAACTGAGCACTATATTCAGCATTCTTTTCTATTAATGCTGTATCTGTGAATGGTAGTCTATCTTCACTAAATTAGTTATACCTAACATCTAGGTCTCTTTATTATTTATTTTGAGACAAAATAATACTAGATTTCTGTACAGGGCCTCTGTTGGTGATTGACATTAATATGTGGAGTTTGGATAAAATTAATTAAAAATAATTGACAGGTAATGTGTATATATTAAGTGTAATAAACTATATACATAAACTATTGTAAATATATTGCATAATATAAATAAATATGAACTACTTGTATACTACTACAAGTTTATGTAATAAAAGACTCCTCAATTTTTAAAAATATTTCTTTTGGAAAAATATATGTAATAGATTGCTTCATATTTGGAGTTTTTTTCACTTTCAGAGTGTGGTGATAGGTATTTAGTAAGCATTAGATGAATAATGAGCTATTAGATACATTGTTATATTCAAACTTTTCAGATTTTCTTCAATTTTGTAATGTTATAATAGCAATAAAGTTGTTACTGCATTGACAGAAGAGGCCAGGACTTATCACTGTATCTTCAGTTGGCATATAAGGATGATTATGATTATAGGCACTTAGTAAGTTTATTATTATTTTTTCAGTTCTCTAAAGGAAATATTATACACACATTTCAGTATTAAGGGATTTTAAAATTAATCATATAAATGTTAAACTTAAAAACTAAGTTTTTTTAAATATAAAAGGAATAACAGTTTTAAATAATTTTACTGAAGGTCAGTGTAGGTGTGTGTTATGCTATTATAACTTGGGCTTTTCTTTTTTAATTTTAGTACTCAAGGAGGTTGTGTTTCTCATATAATGCCAGAATTTCTGCTTGAACCACGTGATTATAAGAAGTGGCTTGAAATTTCAGTAAGAGAATATAATTTCTCGGAACAAATTTATATATTTGTTATTGAATTTAATATTTGGTCTTAGAAGATTCCATTTAGAACCCTTAAATTTTATATGTGAAATATACTAGGACTTACTCTTCTTTGGAAAGTCCATATTTTCTTTGTATTTGTATAAGATACCAATGCAAAAATAATTGCATGGCTCTCTAAGAATTGCTTTTAGGGAAAATTTATGAATAATGGTGTGGGATTATGTTAATTTTGTTCTTAAAATGAGAGTATAGAATATATATCTTCCAAAGAAAGAATTCCACGTGGCATTTGACCACTTGGCACTTTCTCTTCTTCAGGGAGAATAGTGAGAAATTGAGGAAGAAATACATAGGTTTTTCGGCTTGTGCAATTCATTTTTGGAATACTTTTTTAGAAGGGAATTTTTTTAGAATAGCCTGAAGGCCTTGAGGTAAATATGCTATAGTTGCAATACTGTCATTATGTTTACCACGTTAATGACAAGAGAGAGAGCCCGGTGTCTATTTTTGGCACTACATTGAATTCCTGCAGCCTAATTTGAAGGTAGTGTTTTTATCTGGGCTCATGGTGCAGGAGAACTTTAAATCTTCTTCCATCACTTTTACTACAGGGCGATATAATAGGTGAATTGAATGAATAAATCTATGACCTAAATAATGGACTGTGTGCTCCAGAAAGTTACCTCTGATGATAATTTCTACTTATTGGCTCATGATGAATGTCTAAAAATCCCATGCACATATTTCATATTTAAAAAAATCATGTGCTAAATACTTAAAATTTTAGACTTGAAATTGTCGTGAAGTTTAATTTTTATTGTAATATTTTATTTCTTAAAGCCTTCCACTAGTACTATGTCCATGGATTGGTATACAGCTAATGGAAAATGTCCTTTTACTATTGATATGAACAAGTTTGAAGCCTGCAGTAAACGGGCATGGACAGATATATTCCTTCAGATTTACAAGGTAATACTTCCACTGTAGTTCATTACACTGGTTTGGTTTGATTACATGTAAAGTGTAGTATTTAAAATATAGTCAGTGCTGCTATAAAATATTTTAAGACACAATACCTTAAATAAGAGAGATTTTTTTGGTTCCATGTGAAAATATTAAAAATGAATGTTTCAGAGCTAGGGCATTCCTCTTCCATTCTCAGTTCTAAGCTTTTCTCTGAGTTCAGTTTCTCAGAATGAAGAGCAGGTAAAGGAGTAGTAGAGGGCAAGAAGATACCTTCCACTGATATCACCTGGAAGATGCCTGATCACCATTTCACATTCCACTAAGCAGAATTTATTTGAGAAATATACTTTCTAGAATTGATAGCTAAAATATATTCTATTGCTAAATGGAAAAACTAAATCAGGGATACTAATGAAAGTTATGTTATCCTTCTGTTGCACAGTAGGCTTCCTTTAAGGACTGTAGCTTAGGACTATAGTCTTAAACTATGCATTTTCTGTCTTGCCTCCCTGAAGTTTTGTCCACGTAGCTTAGATTTGGATTGATGTTTCCACAAGTGCTGTAGTTTTCTTCTCTATTTTAGCAGAATAAGAGTCCATATTCATATGATACTCTAAAATCTATTTTACACAGCCATAATAAAAAATACCAACAACCTTTAAATTATTCAATAAAATATCCCTTCTTTGAACTCAGACACTGGGAAAACTTGTCGCATGGTGACTCATTGCTAATTCCTAACATGCTGTTGCCTATAGGTAAACATATACTGGGAATATTACATGTTCCATTACCAGTTACATAGGGTCAGCTCCGCTTTATCAGCTGTATGATCTTGGGTTTGATTTGATAAACAAAAATATGAAATACAATAGACTTCATAATGTACTATGTTAACTTAGCTTAAATTAATATGCAAGACAGATAATCATACAATATGTATACACAATAGCAAAGCAGGGACCTTGTGATTCAGGGCATAGCTACCAGCTATAGCTCACTCCAGCTATATATGGCTCACTATATATAGCTCATTACAGCTATAGCTCACTCCAACCATAGCTCACTCCAAACTCAAGTCAAAAATGGTCACGACAGATGAAGTCTAGTGGGTATGACAGTGTTATGCAGGGATGCCTGGAGGTCTGAGAACTGTCCGGTTTTCAGTCATGTAATACTCTCAGGATAAAAAATAATCACTTATTGCTCAATACAACATCTTAACAATAAGTCCTTCCTCCAATATGTAATCAACTTGCATCTTCCATACATATGCTTTTGTAAATCCCTTGGGTTAATGATGTAAAGAAACTTTGAACAAGTGTTAAAACATCAGCTATTCCTAAGGCTAAAAAAAATGCCATAAAATAGCTGTTAATGTTTTTCCTTCTAGTCTAGCCTATTTAAGGTGATTCTTCAGAAAAAAAAATTCAACTATTTAAACTGTTTATATTTACTTGCTGTTTTTACTTCTTTGTATGAGAAATGTCTGTTCATTTCAGATGCCCATTTTTGAATCGGGTCTTTATATTTGGGGGTGGTTGATTGTTCTGAGTTCTTTATATATTCTAGATAATAGTCCTTTGTCTTAGGAGCAGCTGGTAAAAATTTTTTCCCACATTGTAGGTTGTCTTTTAGTTCTGTTGATGGTTTCTTTTGTAGTGCAGAAGCTTTTTCATAAGATGAGATCCCAGTTGTTGATTCTTTCTGCTAGTTCCCATGCTACTGAGGATTTGTTCATAAAATCTTTTCCTATGCCAATGTCTTCAACAGTTCTGCCTCACTTATCTTCCAGCAAGTTTAATGTTTCTGTTTTAATATTTAGATCTTTAACCCACTTGGATTTTAATTTAGTGCATGGTGAAAGATAAGGATCCAGTTTTAGTCTTTGGCAGGTTGAGATCCAGTTTTTCCAACACCATTTATTAAAGAGGCTATCTTTCCTCCAGTGGGGATGGTCAGCTCCTTTGTTCACAGAACTAGAAACAGGTCATAGTGGGTTTGTTTTTTTTTGTCTTCCAATCTGTTCTACTGATCCTCATATCTGTTTCTTTGCCAGTACTATGCTGTTTTTATCACAGTGGCTTTATAGTATAGTTTCAAATTGGGAATTGTTATACCTGCTACCATGTTTAGAAAACTGTTTAGAAAATCTAGAGATTTAAGGACAGTTTAATAATGAAAATTATCATCAGTTTTCTATGCTGAATAAGACAACACATCATTAAATTGTCATTAAAAAACAAACCAAATATAATAGTACAGTTTATATAGACATTAAAGTGCACATGGCAGAGATGGAATTGCACATATATATATATATATATATATATATATATATATATGTATGTATATATTACTACTAATAAGTTTGCCATGGTTACTTTTAAATTTTCAATATATTGTATTGAGATATAGCCAAGGACTCTGTTCTGTTACATAGTCAGTCTTTTTGGTATTATATTTCTTGAATTGTACCTTCAAATAATATGGATCATTAAAATTTAAATTAGTTAAATTTCATCAATTACCTGAGAGAAGAAAAAGGTATTTTTGTCCTCTGTAATTATTGCATTCTTTCAACTCATGCTTTGTTTGGTTTTGATGGTAAACAACAAGTAATAACACTTTCCCAGGTTATATTTGATTTGCATATGAGGGGATCTTGTACTGTATATGGGTTTTTATTGATTTCATTTTTCTCGCGATTAATTTTAAGTATTTTACAGAATTGTCATCCTGTGAGAAGATGAAAACTAACACTTCTTCTAACACTAATGTTTCAAAAGCACTTCTGTAGAATAAAGTTCTCAGGATAGTGCCTCTTTCTGTATTAAAGGTTACATCCATGTTCTGAGGGTCAGTCTATAAATTTGAGTTTTTAGTCATTTATAGATCTTGTGTTCTTTGCAGAGGAGAGGTGACAGATGACAGAGAATTCCTGAGCCAACTCAGATTATTAGCCCAAAACTCTTATCTCATCAGATATATTCAGGTGACTCATCATTCAGTATTCTCCAGAAGGGGATCAGAGTCCTTTTCAAAGGCTTTCAGTTGTATTATAGTATATGACATTTGAAACTTAGAAGTTCTAGATCACATAACTTCCAGAATTAAAGAAGAAAGAAAGGAGTGATATTACAAATCGATCAAAATGTCAAAATGATGCAATTCACAATTGTGGATGGCTATTCTCACTAGACATGCCAGATAAATATTCAACACTCAGCAATGAATTTTTAAAATAAAACATTAAAATAGTTCTTACAGTAGGAAAAAAAAAGAATAGTTTTGAGACCCTCCTAAGCATCCTAATAGTTTTTAAACTGTATTTGAGATGCTACATAGGGTTGACACCTTCTACCTTAGTATACCTACTACATAAAGAAATAACCACTTTTTCCCAAAGTTACAATAAACATGCTTGACTAATCATTAACATATTAATATCAATAAACATACTCATGAATGTAATTGTGTTAGACTGAGTTCTTCTAGAAGCAGACTCTGAGACAAGTATCAGCTACTTTATTTCCAACATGATCCCAAGAAACAAGAGTAACAGATTAGGGAATTTAAACAATATGCAATGAGGCTAATAACAGGTGCTTTCAGGTAGGTTTTATGTTGGGCAACTGAGGATCAATCCTAGCAGATTTTTATGGATGGCATTGCAGAACCTATCTGATGTGTACTGAAACTAAATGATGCAGAAAATAGAATATTTAGCTATAAATTGCCCTGATTATCTTTGCAAGGAGACTGCTTCTTGTGGGCTAACAGTACTCTCACATACCAGAACAAATATCCAGCCAGTAGAAATTTGTACGTGTTCACAATAAACGACCTTCATAATATGTATGTGAATGATGCATAGATATTACTAGGATAACAACAGCATTTCTGTGGCATGCATCAATCAAATGGTGGTTTTCATACCAGTGACATTGGATTACTGTCCATTAATATTTCGGGATGAGCCAAGGAGCCGACTTGTACTGTCATATAAACCCAGTGATCCCACTCCTGACTCTTTCATTTAGAATGCTGTGAACAAGAAGAAAAAAAAAATATATGTAGAGAAAGAAACAGTATTAATGTAGTAGTAGTAGAACATAAGCTGTTCAACTCATCTAGAACCCATGCCAAATAGATAGTAATGTATAATTTTGAATAGCTCTTTTGCTATAGTACTTTCCTGATTAGACACAAAGTCATTTACTTAATATTACTTCTAAATTAGGTATGTTGTTTTGTGAAAATGCATGTATTAATACATGTAGTATACATGGTGATATGATTTCAATATGTCATGCTACAGAAATGTATATACTTTTGTCATCTTAACCACACTTCTTCAGTGAATATCAACGTCAAAATCAGTTTTGACTAGTTATTACTGCTTTGATTTTCAAAATTAATTTTTTTCAATTTGCATGAGCTGGTAAAGAAATAAGGAATGCATTTCAAATCCATTTGTTTTAAATGAATTAGCAGTCTAACCTAATTGCATGATGGGGTGCCCTTCAGATTAAATGCTATTGAAGCAAAAATTTGTGAATTCAAAATGAACATTGGTGGGACATATCTCATTTGTTCTTTTACTCCTGAGTGAATACACCTAAATAGAAAATACTAGTACTTTTTTTAACCTTTCTGTCATATTTTATATACTTTTCAACTATTAATTTGTTACCTTCTTCACTTGAATCTAGTGAAAGTTTACTCTTTCGAAATTTCAGGTTCTGGTTTTATCCCGAGTTTTACCACAGTTCTCCAATGCTGCCCCTCCAATAAAGGTGCAAAATACACAAAAAATCAGCCCTTATTTTGTATCCAGCAACATATATTCAGATTCAGAAAGGATTCTACTTAGTTGGTTGAATACAAATTATGAAAATACTCGACACATTATATGGGGAAACCGTCATAAAGGTGAGAAATTATTTTTTCTTTAAATAAATCACTGAAAATTGTAGTATGACAATGTAAAATGGACCATGAAACCATACTTAGACCATTGATTGTAGACCTAACTCCATCAATTATTCTCTCTTCTGTAAAAAGGATAGCCTTTCAACAACTGCAAGGTGAAATATTACTAGATGATTCTTGCATTTTGAAAAATAAATGATAAAACACGTAGAGCGATGCTCTAGAAAGAAAATAGTATTGTTACTAGGATCTTCAACTTAATACAGTGTTAGATTTACTTGACATTGTTTGACTCTTATATGTAATTAGTTTAGATCAAGAGAAATTTGATGAAAAGTCATCTTACATATATCAGAGTCATGTTGAATATCAATTGCAGTAATGCTTTGTGAATTCGTTTGGTGACTGTGTTAGGTTCATGCACTCAGATGTATGAGTGTTCACAGATACCAGTGCACGTATTCAGATGACTATTCCCTAATTCTGTCTTTGCAGGGTGATATGCTATCAATTTCTAATCTAAGAGCTTTAAGCTCATTTTAAAAAGTTCTAGATGCTAATGTAATTGTGTTCTTTTTCTTAGTCATAAACATTGATTATAGTGACATTAGTATGCCATCATTGTTGCTTCAGTTAAGCTCTCTGTTTCCAAGTACATACAAGCATTTTATTTTTTGAGTAGGTTTTATTTTAATGTATAATAACTTAGTTTTGATAGTCAACGCTCAAAGTTTAATCCAAATTTTGGAACTAATGGAAACATTAAGAGTTTTATTTCATATGAAACTGAATTTTAATTGCCCTTAACTTTAAGTTAAGAACATATAGTGACAGCAACATTGGCAAGAGATACACACACACACATACACGCACATATATACACACACATATATACATTGGAAAGATATGTATATATATATATATATATATATATGTATACACACACAATATATATATTGGTATTTAAGAGCAGTTACTTCTTTCCTTGTAGTAGACATGAAGAAACTATCAAGATCTAAATCTTTGTATTTTTTCATTTTAAAATATAAAGAATAAAGTACAGTAAGGACTGGGTATGTAGTTTAGTGGTGCAGTGCTTGTCTGCATATACAAAGCCTTTGGTTTGATTGCAGCAAGAAAAAGAAGATGGAGGAGAAGGGGATGGCAAACAAATAACAATAAGATGGTCTACATCTATACACTTAAAATTATTTTGATTATTGTGGAGTAACACTGTCACCATAGTGTATATATTTATTAAATTATAAATTAGTTATAAAATTATTACGCTTTAATTTTTGCCAAGAGAATATTCCATACAAGTTAATTTCAAAGAGCTTTCTGCACTAATGAATAATATAGTGTAACTATTTACCTTTTTCGTATTTTCTTTTCTGTTCCTGCAGTTGGAGCTCAAGGCCCTCCCATTGAGCTCCATTTCCAGCCCGTTTTAAATTTTTGAAATAGAGTCTCATTAAATTGCCCAGTCTTGGCTTAAACTTGAAATCCTCATGCTTCTGAAGGGCAAGTTATTTATCCTTCATTTTCCTAACACTTGTGGCATTTTTTTACTTCATATTAGACCTTCCATATTTAGGAAAATGTATAAGTCCCCTAGAGTATTAGGAAAATGAGTCAGCTCATTTCTGTGCCCTACTCTATCAAAAAAAAAAATTTAAACTCACTCCATGGAATATTTCGCTAGGATATATGATACAAAAATAAGGATTGTTTTAAGGGTAAAAAAAAAAAACTGTAAGATTAATGAAGTGCTGTGTTGAGGTGGAAATATGAGAGATTACTTAGATTCATAGAGCCAGAGGTGAGTATACTTGGGTCCTGTTCAAGTAGCAACCCAAAATGCAAACTTGTTCAGTCAATTCGCAAATATGAAAAGTATATAATACTCGAAAGGTTGTTTAGACTGCATGATGCAGATTGCAGAAGAATTTCTATATAATTCACTAGGAAAGGAAAGAATTAGAGTCATGGAGAAACAATTCTGGCTCCACTAAGAAGCTGAGTATGGTTTGTGGTAACAAGTTAACTAATAATTGAATACATGAGTATATACAGTATTAATGTGGGACTCATGTAGGTTCTAGTCAGAGAGGAAAAAGAGAAAATCAGTATACACAAAATTATAAGGCCAAGCCTGTAGGCCTTTGCCATTTACTAGATGCAGAATATGAAAGAGTTTAACATTTGGTTGAAATAGCTCGTCTGAGCCACTTAATTGAGTGAAAGAAAAGAGATGACTTGAGATGACGATGATAAGGTCCATATTGATCTTGTGGAATTGGGGATGCCCATTGAGGGTGAGAGACGACAGAGCCATATAACAATATTTAGAAGTTACCACACTACTTACCTGATGAGGTTGAAGTTACTGAGATAGGCTTGGGATTTGTTTAACAAAGACCAAGAAAAAATGATAGGCTCAATGCAAACAATGAAGTTTTGATAGTTCGAAATGATAATTCTAGGAAGGAGCAAAACTAAAAAGGCAGAATAGTCAAAGTAGGAAGGGAACAGAAGAGTGGTTTTAGAGAAGGAAAGTCAAGAGAGAATGTGTCAAAAAGAACTGAAGGCATGGATTGTGTTTAAAAAATAATAACAATAAAATTCTTGTTCTTTAGTTTTTAAAAATAATATATTGTTTAGAGGTAAGGAAAGGAATTTATGATATGATCTCTGCTGTTTGTAATCCAACAAGGGACTTGATTGTACATGTGAAAGGGATACATTGTCATTTAGGGATATATATTTGGTTACTCACCAAAATAAGTAGTAGAGCATCTAGAGATACAGGAAAGAAATTTAGAGAAAGGAGATAGTTGCTGTCATAGTTACTTTCTTATCATTGGGACACAACACACAACACCTGAAACTTGAAGGAAAAGGGGGTTTATTTTGGCTCACAGTTTATGGAGGTTCATTCCATAGTAGGTGGGCTACAAGGCCATGCAGTATGGCGGAGGAACGTGGCAGAAGAGCGCTTCTTATGGCATGGTTGTGAAGCAGAGAGAGATCAAGGGAGAAGGAGTTAGCTAAACCTTCTAGGCCATGCCCCCAGTGACATACCTTGCACCAGTTTCGCTTTCTACCATCACATTTAGGTATAAAATCATTAGTGACTAACCCACTGATTAGTATTACATCTCATGGTCCAATCACCCCCCCTCCTTTAGCTCATGAGACTTTGGTGGGACATCAGGATATAAATAATAACAGTTACTATGGATGTGAATGTGTGCAGTACAGTATATCTCTTGAAGAGGAAAGATGGGTGATAAAACTAAAAATTAAAGAGATGTGGAATGTCAAATAATCAACACTATTTGTATAAAGAAAAAACAAAAGGTAGATGGACTTCTTCGAACATAGGTAGAACTGAGAATTATATAAAACAGGGCAGAGATGATAGAGAAAACATTATGGTTGAAAAAAAAGTGAGTCTTCCTCACAGATTTTATTGGACTAAATTGTGTACTTGGCACAAAGTCATCCTAATGAGTATTCTCTCATTAATCAGTCCCATGAAGCAACAAATAATGAAATTTTAGTTGTTTGCAAGTTTTCTAGAAACTCTGGAGAGGAGAGTTTAGCAAAGGATATAATACAACTGGCTGTTTCTTTTTAACCTGTTTGCCAAGGTCCTTTTTTAGCACCTCTACCTCATTTGGCATAGATATACTACATTTTCCTTATTTATGATTACAGTAGTTTCTTTGCAGTGGTGGAATAAAGTAGGACAAGGAGAGGATGTAGAACACATTAGATGATATTTACTAGTAAAAGTTGGAAATAGTTCATTTAATGGTTATGATTGATTTTCTTAACTTGATTGTCTTGGAAACTGCTCAGGAGATTGATTGGTGGAGCTTAGTTCTGGTTGTGTCTGGGCAGAGTGGCAGAGCATAGAGATGTGACCTTGGAGCCTATACATGGTCCCTCATCCTTTGTTCTCTGGCATTGTTCCCCTGTTCTGCTTTCCTGCATCCATGAACTAAGCAGCTTTGCTCCACTGTGCCCTTCAACCAACTCTGACTTGGAGTTTGCTGGCCGTGGACTGAATTTCCATAAAACATGAACCAATTTAAACATAGCTTCCATCAAGTTGTGTATGTCAGGTACTGTGTCCAGCAATGGAAAAGCCGCCTAATGCAGTTGGTCTGGAAGTGCACTCATCCAGGGCTTTGAAAACAAGCTAGTGTTTTAGGACTTCACTCTGTTGGCTACGGTGAGTCACAGGAGATGGCCGAATTGAGGACTATTATGATAAAATCAGTGTTTGGTTTGAGTGCAACAAGTCCATAGATTGAAGTGATTGGAGGTTGGACATTCTTCAGACCACTCACATGAATTTGGCAATGAAAGTAAGATATCTTAACCTGGGCCTTGTATGGACTCGGCCTGTAGTACCAAGTGTCAGGTGGTCAATCAATCACAATTTGGAGAAAATTTCCTTTTGTAACTACAGATGGTTGCCAGGAACCACTTTAGCTACTGTATGACAGAGAGGTGGGGGAGCCATCTCTTTTTGAAACTCCATGGCATGTGGTGATTTGTGCTAAATTTTGTGAAAATCAATATACTTTCCAGTATAACATATAGATACCTGTTTGATATAAATAGGGGACAGTGCTTGCCATTAGGTGAATTTGTTCTTATGGACTAGACCTTCTGTTTCCAGTTGCACTTTGTATTATGTATACTTGAACTCTTATCATTAACAGTACAGTACAGTTAACTGTTTTCACCAATGAACCATTCTTTGTACACCTTAGTGACAGTGTCTTCTTTGGAAATTATGCTTGTGATGAGTGTTCTCTATGTCATTACTTAGGATTCTTAGTTTCATTGCTACATTAGATTGCTAATGGAAATGTTATCATCCTGTAGTCACCTGGTGATTCTGAAAGCAAGAACAGAAAGAATATTCCCTGACAAGACTAAGAACTTTGACTTAACTATACTCTTCAGGTCCTAAAATTGGA